GGCTGAGAAATCAAACCGTAAGGCTTGGGACAGGTCTAACAGATTATGTTTGAGCTTTATGCGAATGACGATTGCCAACAACATTAAGTCAACTCTTCCCGATAATGTGGATGCGAAAGCATACCTTTTGCTTGTGGAAGAGCGTTTCCGTTCCGCGGATAAGTCATTGGCAGGAACACTTATGGCTGAACTCACGACCAAAAAGTATGATGGGTCGCGTAGTATGCAGCAACATGTTCTTGACATGACTAATCTTGCAGCAAGGCTTAAGTCCCTGGGCATGACTGTTGATGACTCATTTCTGGTGCAATTTATGCTTAACTCGTTGCCTCCTGAATATGGGCCATTTCAAATTAACTATAACACTATTAAAGATAAGTGGGATGTTAATGAATTGGCCAGTAAGTTGGTTCAGGAGGAGACGAGGCTTAAGGCACAAGGAGTTCATACGGTCAACCTTGTGGGTCATGGAGCTAATAATGTTCTCAAACCGAAATCCAACAAGTTTAAGAAGAAAGGACCTGCTAAAGTTTCACAGGTCACTAATGATGAAAAGAAGGAAAATCGGGCAAATAAATGTTATTTCTGTAAGAAAGAAGGACACGTACAGAAAGATTGCCTGAAACGCAAGTCTTGGTTTGAAAAGAAAGGTATTTCTAATATCTTTGTATGTTTCGAATCAAACTTGTCTGAAGTTCCTTCAAATACATGGTGGTTGGATTCTGGTGCTACAACTCATGTTTCTAATGTGATGCAGGGATTTCTTACAATCCAGAGCATAAACCCAAATGAGAACTTCTTGTTCATGGGGAACCGTATGAAGGCCCCAATTGAAGGCATAGGGACTTATCGTATTGTTTTAGATTCCGGGCACCACCTGGATCTTTTGCAAACTCTCTATGTACCTTCATCTTCTAGAAACTTAATGTCTCTTTCTAGACTTGATGTTCTTGGGTTTTCCTTTAAGTTTGGACATGGATGTTTCAGTTTGTTTGATAAACATGATTCCATTATTGGTTCTGGAATTCTTATGGATGGTTTATATAAACTGAAACTTGATGTTGATTTTTCTGCATCTTTAATGTGTGTTCATCAAAACATTGGAATTAAACGTGGTGTAGCAAATGAGAACTCTGCTTTCTTGTGGCATAAACGTTTGGGTCATGTATCCAAAGAAAGAATGCAAAGGTTGGTGAAAGATGAGATTCTTTCGAATCTAGATTTTACCGATCTTGGGTTGTGTGTGGATTGCATTAAGGGAAAGCAAACCAAACATAACAAGAAAGGAGCCACAAGAAGCAGTCAGCTTCTTGAAATTATACACACCGATATATGTGGACCTTTTGATGCTCCATCCTTCAATGGAGAAAAGTACTTCATTACCTTTATCGACGATTTTTCACGTTATGGTTATGTTTATCTGCTTAAGGAAAAATCTCAAGCTGCAAATGCACTTGAGGTTTTCATTAATGAAGTTGAAAGGCAGTTAGACAGAAAGGTGAAAATAGTAAGGTCTGATAGAGGTGGTGAATACTATGGAAGGTATGATGAATCGGGACAAAATCCCGGTCCATTTGCTAAGTTCCTCGAAAGACATGGCATATGTGCACAATACACTATGCCAGGCACACCTCAACAAAACGGTGTAGCGGAAAGGCGAAATAGAACATTAATTGATATGGTTAGGAGTATGATAAATAATACATTATTACCCAAATCTTTGTGGATGTATGCACTTAAGACTGCTGTGTATCTGCTAAATAGGGTTCCTAGTAAGTCAGTTCCTAAAACTCCTTTTGAGTTATGGACTGGAAGGAAACCTAGTTTGAGACACCTGCATGTTTGGGGTTGTCCAGCAGAAGCACGAGTATACAACCCGCATGAAAATAAATTGGATTCTCGAACTGTGAGTGGTTACTTTATTGGTTACCCAGAGAAGTCCAAAGGGTTTATGTTTTACTGTCCTAATCATAGTTCTAGAATCGTTGAAACGGGCAATGCTAGGTTTATTGAAAATGGTGAAGTTAGTGGGAGTGCTAAAGCGACTGTGGAAATTAATGAAATAAGGGTTGATGTTCCATTACCCATTAATGTTCCAATATCCACAGTTGTTCCAAATATTGTTCCACTATCTCAAGAACAAAATAATGGTGGACAAAATTTGGATGAAGTAGTACCCCATGAAGAGACTAACTTCCCACCAACTAACACAAATGAACCACGTGGAATAGCATTAAGCAAACCTACAAGGATGAGAAGATCTGCTATTTCAGATGATTATGTGGTTTATTTGCAAGAGTTGGATTATGATACTGGCATTGATGAAGATCCTGTTTCGTTTTCACAAGCCATTAACAGTGACGAGTCCCATAAATGGATTGATGCTATGAAAGAAGAGTTAAACTCTATGGCTAAAAACAATGTTTGGGATCTAGTAGAATTGCCAGAAAGTTCAAAACGAGTTGGGTGTAAATGGGTCTTTAAGACCAAACGCGACTCGAGTGGCAATATCGAACGACATAAAGCTAGACTTGTTGCCAAGGGTTACACTCAGAAAGATGGCATTGATTATAAGGAGACTTTTTCACCTGTTTCTAAGAAGGATTCTTTAAGGATCATTATGGCTTTAGTAGCTCAATATGATTTACAGTTACATCAAATGGATGTGAAAACAGCCTTTCTTAATGGGGACTTAGATGAAGAAGTTTATATGGATCAACCCGAAGGGTTTTCCATAGAAGGAAAGGGTCACATGGTGTGTAAACTTAAGAAGTCAATATATGGACTTAAACAAGCTTCCAGACAATGGTATATTAAGTTTAATGATACCATCACGTCTTTTGGTTTTCAAGAAAACACTGTTGATCGGTGTATTTACCAGAAGATCAGTGGGAGTAAGTTTATATTTTTGGTTCTATATGTTAACGATATCCTACTTGCTGCTAATGATTTGGGAATTTTGCATGAGACTAAAGATTTTCTCTCAAAGAATTTTGAAATGAAAGATATGGGAGAGGCATCTTATGTGATTGGAATTTCTATATTCCGAGATAGATCACAAGGAATGTTGGGATTGTCTCAGAAAGCTTATATCGAAAAAATTCTTGAGAGATTTGGTATGAACAATTGTTCACCAAGTGTTGTCCCATTACAGAAAGGGGATAAGTTTAGTCTTATGCAATGCCCTAAGAATGATGTGGAACGAAAGAGTATGGAATCTATTCCATATGCTTCTGTTGTGGGCAGTTTGATGTACTTGCAAACTTGCACGAGGCCTGATATTAGCTTCGCTGTGGGAATGCTTGGCCGATATCAAAGTAATCCTGGAATGGATCACTGGAAAGCTGCAAAGAAAGTGATGAGATACCTTCAAGGGACGAAGGATCATATGCTCACGTTTAGGAAATCTGATCGCCTTGAGGTGATTGGATATTCAGATTCAGATTTTGCTGGGTGCCTTGACAGTCGCAAGTCAACGTTTGGCTATGTGTTTCTCCTCACCGAAGGAGCAATATCATGGAAAAGTGCCAAACAGTCTGTCATAGCTGCATCTACTATGGAGGCTGAATTTGTAGCTTGTTTTGAGGCTACAATTCACGCATTATGGCTGCGGAACTTTATTTCGGGACTTGGGATTGTCGACACCATTACCAAGCCGTTGAAACTGTATTGTGATAATTCCGCAGCAGTTTTCTTCTCCAAGAACGACAAATATTCCAAAGGTGCAAAACACATGGAATTAAAGTATTTTGCCGTTAAGGAGGAAGTTCAGAAACAAAGAGTGTGCATTGAACATATAAGAACGGACCTTATGATTGCCGATCCGTTAACTAAAGGTCTACAACCAAAGACATTTAAAGAACATGTACATAGAATGGGTCTTGGTTGTATTGATGATTGATTATGATGATGTTATAGCACACTCTTGAGCTCATTGATGTTATGTTTCTGACTATTATCGAATTTCTTGTTCATTATGATTTTTGTATACATTATGTTTAGAACAAGAAATGAATGTCTTCATGACAATTAAGTGGACATTATGATATTTATATATATTTATGAAACTTGGTGTGTTAAACTGTTAGTGTAGTAGTATATGGAAGGAAGTATGCGAATCGAGAGTGTACAACCGCCATAACTCTCACTATATGGTTTATCATGTCATAGTTTATTATGATGTATGGCATAATGAGATTTGTTTATGCGCACCTAATGTTATACTATTAAATTAAGGGCTTTCGGACCAAGTGGGAGAATGTAAGAATATATGTGGCCCGAAAGCATTGGGCTCACATTTAATTATCCTATTGGGCTAGGCCTTTAATTAATAGTCAAACAAATCTAAGCCATTAATCTGGATATTTGATGGACGTACCAGATCTAAAGCACCCACTATATAAATTAGTCCTCTCTCCTCCTATTAGGGTACGCAGTTATTATCCCATCACTTTTCTGCTACGTTAAGGAATCGGTCAGGAGGGAGAAACTAGTTTAGATCTAAGGATCAATTCAACCTCGAGTGATCATCAAGATTAAGATCACAAATCATGTCGTCTTCCGCATCAAGTAAGTAATTCGTATACACCAAATTATTTATTCAAGATCCTATGATGAAGTTTACACTTTTCCTTATGGTAAATCATCATTCCGTAATGTGATCTCGGAATATAATGACCATACATCTTCATCTACTCAATTTCATATTTCACCACAAAATTTCCTCATTCAGAGTCCAAATTGTATGTTTCGGTTTGACATGTCCAAGTTCAAAGTCGAGGAGACCATACCAAAAATTATTCCGCTTCAAAATTTCAAATTCCAAAGATCTTGTTTGAAAAAACTAGTAAGATGAATAATATAAATTGCTAATCCATTGAATTGATTTCATCTATGTAAAATTATTTGTAAGAACTCATGGTGTTCATTAATCACAGAATAAAACAAAGTATTTTCTTTTTCGTCACAAATATATTTGTTAGACTCACGTTGCCAAAAAAATGATTTCTAATGATTTCAAGTCCTTAGAGAGAAGAGAGAGAGAGAGATTGGTTAACAAGTGTTCCATTTCATTCAGGATAATCAAACGTGCAAGTAAATAACATAAAAAGAACAACAAAAGAGTCGAAAACAGTGGCGAAAAAAAGAAATAGAAAAAGAAAACGAAAAAAGTAATGAGATAAGTGGGATTTCAATCCTTAGGTGGGCTTCACACAGCTATCAGGAGCGAACCCCACCTGTTCACCCTCGAGATCAAACACGACCCGAAAGCCCTGCTGCTGAGTATTCCCGAGTATGCCTGGCCCGTCCGTGACCCCCGCAAAGGCAAAGCAGTACGTCCCCTCCTCATCCAGAGGAACCAAGCAATTGGTCTTCGGCAATTCCATAAATGCCCCTCCCTCGAACTGCAACGTCACAGTCGAGACTTCATCCCCCTCTCTTATACTGTAACACGTGTCGAAAAGCTCCGGCATCGGCGAGTCCGCCGGGATCAAATTCTTGTTCTCTTCCTTGAAAGCGTCCCTCACGGCATCGTACATCCCTTGACTCAGCCGGCTTATAGGCGTGCCCGAATCCACAATCACCTCCTTCTCGGCCGCGGCCTCCGGCAGCCCCACGGCCTTGCCTCCCACCGAGATCCCGATCAACCGGACTGTGTAGAACGTGATCATATTCTCGCCTCTGCCTTTCACCAAAGGCGTGTAGACGGCGTTCACTGACACTGCAGGATTCCCGAACATGAGCCACGACGAGCCATTGGTAGCGTACCGGTTCACGAGGCAGTACGAGAAGGTCCGGTTGAAGAGGCGGCCCTTCTGAGCCGGCAGGGACAGTCTCCCCCTGCCCAGGCCCAGTAACCCGCCGGCCCCAGAGAAGAACCCGCGGTTCTCTTGGCCGCAGCCGAGGGCCACGCGGGCAAGCCGCGTGGTCCGGAAGGTCAGGGTCTCGGTCGCCAGCTCACCCTTGGTGTAGGAGTAGTCCCCGTATTCGACATTGTAATGGCAGCTGTCTTTTGATCTGCAGCGGTGCGCGTGGCAGAGCTTGGAGTCGCAGGGGACGAGTTTGAAGGACTCGGATTGGGTCGGGTCGTAAACTGGGTCGGACTGCCTGAAGCAGTCGCGACAGGGCATGCACTGGAGCCAGGTGAGGTCGCTCCCAGTGTCGACCACGAACTGGGCGAGCTGGGGTGGGGTGCCGACCATGAGGCGCGTGAAGAACTCGCCGCTCCCCTGGAGGATGCCGGAGTAGATGGAGCTGTTGAATTGGGCCGGGCCGCGTAGGTGTTTGTGGGCCTCGGCCCGGAGGATGTCGCGGCGGAGGCGGAGTCTGAGTAGTTGGGTGGGGGTCAGAGAGGACTTGGCGGGGTGGAGACTGTCGACGTGGAGGAGGGGCATGGATAGGGTCATAGTGGTAGGGTCGGATTCGGGTTCGTGGTGGGGTTGGGAGGGAGAGGTTGGGAAGAAGGTGTTGTGATAGTTGAGGGAAGGTGAAGAGGAAATGATGGTTGGGGAGGTGATGAGGAGAAGGAAGAGGAATGAAGTGGAGAGTGAAGCGGAGTTTGTATTACGGCTCGGGTCCATTTTCTGAGAGGATGCTAAATGGTACGAATATGGAGATTGATGGATTTTGGGATGTGAAGGGAATGTATAAATAGTGTTTTGGAAGTTTGCGTGCGTGCGTGCGGGTTTGTGCGGGTGTTCGGACAGTTTTTATGTACGTTTGGCGTTTTTCTTTCCTTTACCTTTCTTGGAAAAAGTGATACCTCTCTTCAAGAGTTTAAATAAAACCTTTATAGGGAGAGTGTTTAATTAAGCATATAATACACGGGCGGATCTATATATACTTAGGTGTAGCC